GACAACATATTATAGTATTTGCTAAACTTATTTTGTGATTCATCAGGCAAAAACATTGATAAGAAAAGTAAAAACGATATGTTTCTTGGCTAATGCTAGTTTTGTAAATCTAAAAAACACTAATGAAACCAGTTAAACTTATATGGGATTTGCTTTACCTGATTTAAAAAAAAAATCATGTACCGTAACATTTTAAACTAACTAGCATACAAGGAAGGATTTTCACAGGCATACGTGAGAGTGATAGTCCATCTTCCCCAAGAACACAACTTATCTCTACACTATACACAATAAAATGTCACTGTCATTAAGAAATCGTACACAACTTCAGTTTCTAATCACCCAACCACGACTTCTTTCAGGAGTGCCATCAACATTGAACTATGTTGATTTGTCAACTCCGGACACTTCACCCAAACTTCGACCCTACCCCGACTGGGCGACTAACCGTGAGGGAGACTGTGAAGGGCTTACCACCACGTACCGGGTACGGGTGGACCGCTGTGACCGACTCTGGGTGCTGGACTCCGGGGCCGTGGGTCTGGGTAAGTCTACAATATAGCCAAAATCTACCTCAAGAGCATCAAGTAAACTGTTTTTTGGATTTTCAATCCGACAGTGCTGATATCTTTAGATTTAATTTATTTTATTTTTAATTATCTTTGTTTACTGAGTATTTGTTTATTAGAAGAATGTGTTTGCTCTTTTTTTAAGGTTAAAGGGTTAAATATTTAATAGGTGAATTAAAGTTGCCACCTTTGGCTAAAGAAAAATCAAGATGGCCGCCTCCCCCAGACGTACATAGACAAAACAACAACATAGACACAAGCAAAATTCAGCCACAGTAAAATAATTATTGTTTTCCCTCAGCACCCAGGTGGGCTGTTTAAAATACGTTTTCACCACACTATCATGTTTTTGGCTGTATTACATACGTTAATTGGTGGCCGAAAGTTACGTTTTGCTGGCGATGCCAGCTGTCCATAATTTGGGGACCGAGCAGGTTTTTACAGGCCGGGGCCGCAAAATCAGCTGTCCGCTTACTTACTTAAAACATGAATGCATTTTAAATACATAATCAAAATCCATAGCATTTCAATAGAATTGTGTTATTGTCACCGTTGCCTAGCAACTATATATTTTTATTTTTGCTGATTCCTCAAATTATTTCTTCACATAACCTTAAAGTTGTAGTTGTGTTGACTATCAGTGTGCATTATTATTGTGGTGAATAGTGGTAATAGGGTATAGTGTGGTGAAAAATAGCGTTCGTACCACGGACCGAAATGGTTTTGCGGCTCTCGATCGATTTAAGTTCTCGACTTCGTCTCGAACTTAAAAACTATCTCGAGCCGGCAAAACCTAATTTTCGGCCCTAGGTACGAAATATACTATTGTGACACCCTGTAAAAAAGCTACACTGTAACAAAGAATCTTAATCTTTGATCAGGGCCATATAGTACTACAGTACCAAAAGCACATAATTTATTGTGTACCTCTACCTCTACGCCTTTGTCATTTTTAAAGTTTTTGGAAGGGAACAGTCCAAATCTGTAAATGGTTACAAATGTAGCTTATGAACCAAGTGTTGCTTCATAATCATATGATTTGCAGGTAACTCAACCAAGCAGCTGTGTCCTCTCGCCATCCATGTGTTCGATCTCCACACAAACACTAGACTGAGGAAGTACAACCTGAGGAAGGACGATACCAACAGCAACTCCTTCATCCCCAACCTGGTAGTGGACGTCGGTGATTCTTGTGAGAACTCATATCTCTACCTGGCCGACGCTCTAGGCTACGGTCTCATAGTCTACTCCTGGCAGGCCAACGACTCCTGGCGGTTCCAACATGGCTACTTCATGCCTGACCCCCTGGCAGGTGACTACACGGTCGGAGGAGTCAACTACCAATGGAGCAACGAGGGAGTGTTTGGGCTGGCTTTGAGTCCTCCCCACTCCAACGGGTTTAAGACGCTCTTCTTTCATCCACTCTCCAGCTACAGGTTAGCGGTCTTCACGTAGATTCACAATTGTTCTAGATCCACATTAAAACCTTAACCAAAATAAAAGAGGTGGAGCTGTTTCGGATAACCTGTTTTTTTTTTATAATCGTTATTATATAATATATAATTGAATTTAAAGACTACTATATTTTGGTTCAAAGACGTCTACAATAGTAGCTTTTGCATTGTTTTAGTTTATGTCATCTTAAAATCCAGAACTGCATATATATATAAAATAAACTTGTATTCAGTTTCACTAGAATTCATGTTGTTTCTAACAAAAACAACAATGAATCAACATGAAACCACAACAATGAAACAACATAAATTCTAGTGAATAAGTATTGCGCTAGTGTCTTCTCCCTTACACCTAAAATAGCATCCAGCAATAATCTATTCAAATAGGTGAATTTTGAAGAGTCGTTCATCCAAAAATTGGTATACAGTATTAGTTATTATTTTAAAACTGTATATTTTGTGATAAATCCATTAATTAGCTTAGCTTTATGCACAAGTATACAAATTATACTGTCTCTTAATACTGAGTATGTAAAAATGAGTAACAAAGCTAATTTTTTAGGGATTTTTACGTTTCCACCAAAGTTCTTCAGAACAAGACCAAAGTTGACAACAGTTTCCGAGACTTCTACCTCCTGCCAAACAGAGGTTCGGCCGGCCATGTCTCCACTCACGTAATGGATGATCACGGAGTCTTGTTCTACAACTCCATAGACAAGTCCTCTGTTGCATGCTGGGACTCCTCCAAACCTTACCGCAAAGAGAATTTACTCACTTTGATGAATGACGAGGAAAAGTTGATATTTCCCAGTGATATCAGAGTAGACAGTTTACGAACTTTGTGGGTGATCTCAGACAGAATGCCTGTTCATCTCTTCTCCAGCTTGAACTACACAGATTACAATTTTCGTGTTTTCTTCTCTCCGATTGAACCACTCATCGCCGGGACTGTTTGTGATCCGTCCTTACCCGAGTATAGGCTTACGCCATCTTTGGACCAGGGACTCTATGTGTGACTGTTAGTGTAAAAAGTGTATGTTTATGTAAATAATGGTTTATGCAGGGTAATTAAATCATGTACCAAATCATTATTATTATTACCAATTGAGATGGGTACACCAACTAAGTGTGTATTTTAACCAAAATATGAGTTAATAATTAATAAGTGTAGAATAGAGCGAGATGCCTTTTAGCGAATTTCCCATATAGGGAATAAGCTATTACCGTAGTACTCATGGTAAGACCTGGACCCGGGACCAATTTACTTTTTTGTTTTGAGGTCCCTAGAGGCCAAAATCACCATCCGCTCAAATTCATATATATATATATTTATTTATATATGTGACCGTTAGCGCGATAACTCGAGCAAAAATCATCCGATTTTTATGAAATTTGGTACAAACGTTTAAATCTACGTTTATTCGAACGAGTTCGCGAACCAGCATGATTGGACCATGGAAACTTTATGGGGGGATTTATGGGGGTTTTATGGGGTAAAAATTTCTTTTTCCCATTTTTGACCCTAAAAACTTAAAATTTAGCAATTTCTTTCCAAACCATTTTGTAGAGCTTAAAAAAAAATAATTTAGTATATTGAAGCGTTGTTATGCGCCTAATGGTTACGGAGAAAATCCCAAAAATCTGTAAATTTAAAATTCCCATGTTATTCTTATGGAGAATAAGTAAACTGTTGTTGGTTGCTTGCGTATGAACATATTTTGATAAAATTTGGAAAATGCATTCATTTCATACTAAACTATAACATTTTACAAAAAAAAACAGCTTTTTACCCTCCCTGTTGCAGCAAACCTAAGTACTCGTTAAACTTATGTTATTTAATAGGGAATAAATGTGATGTTTTTAAGGAGGAATTTTAGTGTAAATCCAATCAGGCAAATGGAAATTCGCTTAGTCTGCAGGTTTGCTGCGGCGGGGGTATTTAACTTTTTTACTGACTAAAACCAGAGCTGTTTTATTAGTCATGACTATTTATTTAAAGCTCAAAGGTCAAGGACAACTGTGTGTCTATAGTTTCATTAGTTTCATACCCTATAAAAAGGTACTCACTTTTCACAGGATCGAACCAGCAACCGTTTGATTGTAAGGCAAGCACTACAACCACTAACCTATAGAATACAAACTGTTACATTACCTATGACATAGTTGAGGATGAAGTTGACAGCACTAACGAACGACAGTTCTCTCTCAAAGTGGATGGATCTGACTTCATCATCCAATGATTGCGTTCTCCGAGTCCTCGGAACAACCTGCGTCTTATCAGGATTGAACTCCTCGCTCGGCACATTCAACATGATACAACAGTAGCCCTCTATTGAGGAATAATGCTGAAGAGTGTTTATTTCGAGAAAACGGCGTGAGAAAAGGTTTGAAATACAATCCACTTTAGAACAAATCCGAGAATTCCTCTGGATGTCACTAAAATTTTTACATAAAAAACTACAAAAACTTTGAAAACTCAGTTAAATTAGACAATTTTAATTTTTTCTGTAATTCTATAAAATACATAAGTAATATTACAAAACTTGAAATTATTTCTTGCAATACCAATGGTGTATTAATAACAAAAGAATGACCATATAGTTCTTATACAAAATTTTTTTATCAAGACCAAAAAAAGCATAAACGAGATTAAAGAAAAATAGATTTTATCTCAAGAAGGCATTTGTTTGGCATTGTCACAGTAAACGTTGTCCCACTTGTAATATTGAACAATGAACATGTCAATGTCAGTTGTAAGCGCAATCCGATTGAATTCATTCAATCACTTTTCATGTTTTGTTTGTAAAACATGTAATTTAATTAATTGTTAATATATGAAAATTTAATTATTTATAGTGAATAATGTCACTATGAAGAAATTGCAATCGAAAATTCTGATCAAACTACTTTTAAAATAACAATGGAGGAAAATCTTTAGGAATAAAAGAATATTGGTCAGCCATGGATGAGTAAATTGTTATTATTTAACTTGATTCTTCAAAAAGTTACATTTCAAATCAACAATACAGGAGGGCAAGAATCAACCTTTCCCCTAAAAAAAATATTCCTTATGTCTAGTTACGAATAAAAATCACAAAATAAATACATTCTACTCTGAAATAATAATAAGTACTGTAGGCCCTATTATCTAAAAAGAATTCTTCTCCACTGTGAAAATACCATAGAATAAAACACGTCACAGATATCACAGAACTTGTAACTGAATTATTTTAACAGGTAGATGGTAGGGTGCTACACGTTTTTTACATATGTACAGTACCTACCTATTTCTTAACTTGTATGCCAACACAGTTTTACAACAAACAGTTCAAACAACATCAAATTTTAGGGCAACTTGTGTTTTAGTCTTGCAATAGAATCAGACTAAACTTATGGTGATAATGTAACCGTTAGCAGGTCAATTTTGGCCACCCTTATTCTGTAGATGAGATAAAGATGAGTATCCAAAATATAGGATACAAATTATTTTACGGATTTATTTTTAATAACTTACAATTTTGTCTGTTTATATAGTTCAAATAGTTTTTATTATAATCATTACTCAATTTCTAGAACATGAGTAGTCACAACATCCCTTATAGGGAGTTTGACCCCCTGCTTTTCTATCCTCCACCATCCCTCTTTTTCCCTTCTACCCATAGACAATTATTGTTCCTACAAATCTGCAGCTATAAACAATACCTACTTTAGCATTTCTTCGTTATTTGTTCCTTAAAGTAGTATAAGATATACAAATATTCTCTATATAAAGATAGGTCACAGAAAAGTGGAATGTTTGTAGAAGTTATAGTTTAAGTTCTCCGGCTGGAGGCACCAGAGACAAAGAGTTTTGTACTTTTTTCTGCCATTTATCTGTAACAAAAGAAAACTGTTTCATTTGCTTTACTCAAAAATATCAATGAACACAATTCTCAAAAGGTTTCCCGTCCTTCGGGAATTCACGATGGATACGAATAAATTATTTTAGTCACTTCATCCAGGCAACAAAACAAATCTCAGTGGTATTTAGTTTTTTTTTAATCTCTCAAAAGCTTTTGATTCAATTAGACAGACCTTGAATTAAACTTTGTTCACAATTTAGGCGGTTTGAAGGGAAGTTTCTTCACTACTTTTTTTTACTTATGACGCAGCTGATTTATTTTGGCAAACCTCAGCTGTTAAGCTATTATTTTTAAAGGTAGGTTCAAGTGGAGAAGGTAGATTTCTTCCCATAAACCACCTAAATTTTTTGAACAGAGTATAGTTATGTTCCAGTTAAGGAGCAGGACATTCTTCATTGCATAGAGAGAGATGCTTGAATGCAATAGTACTTATTTTGTCAATAACAGAAGTATCAATAGTAAAAGGCATAGGTATACTCACTCAGAGATTCGATTTTGAAAGCCCTGTAGATGAAGATGTAGTAAACAAAGACTATGAATGCTACGAGAGCAGCAAATACCAAAAGAAGAACGATGTCTATTATCATGATTGATTCCACAACGAGGAACACAGACACTGCGCCGACAAGGATCGGGATGGCTGATGGAACCTGTTAAAAAAATATGTGAAAAAAAATTTGAAGTGGATTAAGCTCTAGAAAATTTAGGCCCTGCTTCCTTTACTGAAAAGTTGTACATTTATACTGGCATTAGATAGCTTTGTAGGGATAGGAAAAGGATTGAAAGTACATTGTAGTTTCTAGTTTGTGTCAAATTAAAAACCGATTCAGCTCATAGTTTTTGGTGCCAAACCAATGCTCCTCGACAGCATGAAGGATGAGGCAAGACTAAGTAAGTTCATGTTTAAAAAGAGACTATGGCCTTCATATTTGAGCCCTTACAGTGATTGAATTCAAACTTAATACGTAAGTTAGTGGTCAATCATCACAAAAAGTATCAGATTTCTAATATGTGCCCATTAAAAATTAGTTCTGAGCATTTATGGACTTAAAATACTATTTATACCTGATGCAAGATGATACTGTGCTGAGGAAAGTATTATTTACAATTTTCTAACAGTTGGAGGGAGCTAAGTGAACAAAGAAGTTTGAGGTCGTATCTTGAATATTGGAACAGAAACGGTATGGATCATAAACATAAACAAATTATGTCACTAGCCTGAAAGTAAACATTATTTAACATTACTTCAACGGAACTGTCCAAACCAATGTTATTAGTAAAGGATTCATTCATGCCAGTCCGGTCATTTGTTTATGTTTACGATCCATACCGGTTCTCTTCTAATATTTGTGAATAGTATAATTAATTATTTGAATCAGCTGATTTCATTTATCATTTCAACAAGAAGAAGTTCTTAGCTCAAGACTTTTTAATATGACGTTAATGGATAAAACGATAAGTTAAACTTATCTTTAGATTTTCATCAACTGAGTGTAACGCAACAACCTACCCTGAAGGGACGGTATGCGTCTGGCAATTTACTCCTTAAGACAAACAGAGCTACCATTGTGATTCCGTAGGACATCCACATGAAAAATCCACACATGTCGACGAGTAATGTGATGTTTCCTCCAACAAAGAAATATATGAGGGACAGTACAATCTGAAAATCAAACACAACATAAAATATATTTTACGGAAAGTAAATAAAGATACATCTTTTAACACTTAAAACATATATTTACGCTTATACTGTTACTCACAAGACGGTAAATATACAAAAGATGGCAAGTGGTGATCGATTTCGATTGGACACTCCAATCATCATCAGACCCAATAAGCGAAATGTAAAATATATTTTAAGCTGTAATCTAGTATTATGTTGAAGCTAGTAATTTTGATCATAGCTTGTTGTAAATTTGACATTTTTTAAGTAAATTTGTAATGTCGGAAACAAAAAATAGGTTTTTTGTCAATATACTACATCAGAAGACACTTAAGCATGAGCCTATGCCTCATGTTGCTGAAAAAGTCATCAACTTACCTGACATATTACCGCAGGGGCCGGTGTCTGAAGTTTCTTGTGAATGTAGCATAGAAATTCAAAAACATGACCTTCTCTTGCAGCGACATATCCTATTCTGTAAAAAAGGTTTTCAAAACAGTACTAAAATAAATTTGGTTAGTGATAGCAACAAATATAACGAAAAATTATGGTTAATCCCTCACACACACCATAAGCCCACCATCCATCACATTAAATGAACTTAAAACAAAGAAATAATTGGCTAATTAGCAGGTTCATGACTAATTAGTAATTACTGACTTTTTGGCTTTGTGACATAACTAAGCAAGGAATGAATTATTTACAATATTACTAGTGCTCTACTAAAGTGCTACCTCGACGAGTAGAAAACGTTGGACATAATGCTGGTAAGCAGACAAAGACAGATGATTCCTGCGGCTATACCTCCACCACTCGGACCAAACATTTCATGGGTGAAGTCCTGAAAAATACATTTCTTGAAAATGGAACCACACCATTTTTTTAAAATGGGTAAGAAGTGTTGATATAAGTTCATCAGTGGTGGTCCAAGGGGTGGGGGGGGGGATGGGAGGGATAGAAAGCCCATCAAATCTCATCTATACATATGGACCAGCTGTTGCCTTGTGTATTAAAAAGAACATAATTGAATGAGCCACACTCAGTATTACACAGTCTAAAACCATATTTGCCACGTAGTTCTTGTTACTGTGATAGTTGATGTTACATAAAATATATTGCAGTCAACAATAAGTTTTCTTTCAGTTTGGTTTGTTTAAAATCTGAAGTATTCAACAGAATCAGTAATAATTACATCAGTGAATTCTGTCAGTGTAATCGATTTGACTACGTTACATTTTCTTCTAAAACTATTGCTACAACTTCACCACAAGAAAGAATTTCTCTATCAATAATCAAAGCTTCTACCCTTTCAATTATCTATTATAGAGAAGCGTGGAAAGCTTTGTACTCACAGCAATGACAGTCGTTGCATCTGACATCTGCTCCGGTGTCAGCGCCGTCAAGAATGTCAGGTTCAAGCAGAGGTAAGTGACAGTAGATATTGTGAGAGCTATCAGGATACTAAACACGATGTTTCTGAAAAATCAAGACACAAAAGTCAAAAATATATCTCACAAATTTGGTACTATCCTCCATTCACAAAATTTAGGTGCTTTTAGGGGAAGAAATATATCCCCACGTTTTGATCCTACCATTACAACATAGCTCAACAGCTGAGAATTATCAAAATTGCTGCCTTTACTTACTTTTGCCCCACTCACTTTACTTTTGCGTACTAATTTTCTTTTGCCGCACTCCAGTTATTCAAACCCAACAACGCAAAACAGGGTGCTTTTATTAGGCACGTAATACGTGTACGCTTGAAAATAAGTTGGCAACACTTAGATACTACGACTACGATTGTTTCAGTGTTTCCCATTTCGTTCAGCTTGGATTTAACCTAACCTAAAACATGTTGTTTAGTGTTTGAAAGAATTATTTCTATACTTTATAGTCTCGCCTGCGGCTCATACGTAAACATTTCGCTCATGTGCAGCAAAGTGCCATTTTGCACACTTGTAACGTTCACAAATAATACTCACTTTTCTGGGTTCTTCAATTCCTCAGTAATACCTGTTATAGCCCATCTGAAAACACGAAAAAGTGTTATTAAGTACAGTTTATAAAAAAAGCAGGTTAAGTTGAAAAAAAAAATGCTTAGTAGGAAAGTTATGTTACAAAATTTGATTTCACAAATGCATAAAAAATTAATTGGATTTTTTACTAGTTTATAGAATTAAGTTAGTTACTTGTCCATAAGTTTTACATGGAAAATTTAAGGCGGCAGTGAGGAAGAGCCCTGACTGAATCAATCAAAAACATTTCTTCTTCTAAAAACTGTGATTTATAAAGAAGATATATTTTTGCATTGATGTCCATCCAATAGTTTCTAAATATACTTTTTTCAAATAAGTACCCCATCTTAAACAAACGAATGTAAATAGATCATAAAGATTGGCAAACCCATACTCTGTTGTCCATGGCCTTACAAAGGAATAGTTTTCTGAAGTTTGTGACAAAAGTTTTAAAACATTTTGTATAGTACATTATAAATTAAGTGTGATTTGGTGTCATACCCGCCATCATAAGCGTAAAGCCCAAAGTACAATGCCTGCGTTAATCTCTTTATGGATAGATGTGTCCCAGTAAAACTGGAGTCGTAATCTTTCGCCTTGCCTGAAAAATACATAAACATGTTTCACCACTAAAAATTTCCCTGATCACAAACAATTATTACAGTAGAACCCCTCATATCCGGCCTTGGTTTTACCGGTCCTCTGTTTATCCGGCCCCTTCAAGAAGCCATTATCAAAATGTTTTTCTCACAGCTTACGGACGTTTAGATGCAAGCACTAGTCTTTGTGACCGCTCAAGTCATAAAATAAATTGTTCTCTTTACTTATCTGTTTGTATATACATTTATTTGCTGAGTCACTATACTCAGTTGAGCTAGAAGGCCTAACCTCTGATCAGTTGGTTGATTATTTCCAAAGTGGGGTTAGTACAGTACAATACATTAATTTTTGTATTTCACAAAATAAGAATGTAGAGTAGAAATGCATGTACCATTTAAGTCCTATTATCTTCAAGTACAATTTATTGTCATTTTTACCTCCATTTAATAGGGTTTGTTACCTGGAATCATAATATTTGTACATTCATTACTTAATGACTTAAACGTACAAATATTTTTTTTTTCTTTTTACAAACATGTTTATTTTTCTAAAAATGATCCCAGAACAGAATTAAATGATACTTTTGATTGCATATATTGATTACCTATTATTATTAGGTATAAATTGTCATTTTCATAGTAGGTTGGTTTATCCGGCCAAATCGTTATCCGGCCAGGGGCTTGGTCCCGTGGTGGCCGGATATAAGGGGTTCTACTGTAGATAAATATATCTCATCGTGAATGGCGAGATTCATTTCCTGCAAATGACTGTAACGCAAAATCCCTTAGGAATTTCTTTATTATAAGAATTTATCTTAGGGTGTCTTTTATCAACTATTCGTTTTAAATATTATACGCCAAAACTTATTTCACATTGCAATACAATTAATGGTGAAAGCAATGCATCAAGAAGGAAGGAATAAATACAAAAATAACTTAAAGTACCTATGAAATGAGTTCTGTAGGTGAAAGCACACAAAAAGCTCAAAACGCAATTAACTTGATATTTCGCCACTACAAGCAGAGTTTCTTCAGAAGGAAGAAGAAAAACTTCTACCGAGTTGTGAACTTAATGAGTGCTTTCAACCGCCTGGAGCTCTTATTTAAGTTAGTTGTGAATCCATTCATACTTCCCCAATGTATTCCAAAGCCAAGTGATTTTACTTACATCTATTCCTTTTTACAAAGAAAGGCCAACGACAATAAAACTCTTGACTTCCAAAAAACTAATTAATGGTGAATAAAAGTTCTGAGTTCTTATTCATTTTTTCAGCAAAAGAGTTATCCTATGATTTCATAATCAAATACCTATAAAACAAATACAAGGAACCAAACTGCAGTATTCTTTTAGTTATTTTGTAGTCAATAGTGTTTAAAGTATTGTAATTTATACAATGCACACCTGAAGCAGACATGTAGAATCCACAGCCGATGATGAACACGATGCAGCTCATCTTAATATATGTAAGAATGTCTTGTGATTTGATGTACAACTTGACACTGATACAGTTAACAACACCAATCAAAACTGAAAAATAAATTCAGATTTTTAAAATTTAATGTGCTATGTTGAATGAGGGAGTGAAAAATGGAGTAAATAAACATGGAAACTTAGAAAATCAGTTTCTTTTCTATTTTTCAGGAGATATCTTACTTAGGAAAATAAGAGTCCCTGAGAGTGTAGAGCCTTATGGAAACATACTCCTACTTCAATATACTCTATGAAGAAGTTAAACTCTGAAGAATAATAATCTATTCTCTAAAGAATCAATAAACAAATATCTGTGTTATATGATGTATAAGTATAAGCTCATCCCTCACTCATATTAGCAGAGAGTCGTAAAATGTTCAGTGTGGGAATGCTCACCATCGGAACTGACTAAGGTATATGATTAATATATAGGACTATTGGAAAAAACTGGGGGGAGCGAGCTGGTCTAGTGGTTAGAGCGAGGGACTTCGGTCCCTCAGGCCCCGGGTTCAAATCCACCAATGGACTTTATCTAAGTGATAATGCCGCAACCCCTAGGTACTAGCCTGAAGTAATGTAAAAAACAATCAAGAGCTTGTGCATAACAAAAAAAAAAAAAAAACGATTGGACAAAAAAAATTTTAAAAGGCTGAGTGGGAACACTGTTCCCTTGCATTCCTGCTCTACCACACTACTGTGTATTAGGGTTAAAAATGCCAATCTGCATGCCCATCCCAATTGGAAACAGTAGTCGTATAAACTGCTCATACAGCTAATTGTAGTTAAAACCTTAACTTAACACATTTTGGAACCTAAGTTCCACATTTTTGGAAATGAAACATAGTTGCCAAATATCAATCAATATCTAACAAAATCTTTTTCAAACCCACCTAAAGCACCACCTCCCAAAAAATACTTTGCACGAAGACAAGCGTTTTCATCTCGGAGGCAATCCTCGTGCCAGATAAGTCGGATGATGATCACCGAGTACTCCGCAAACAACATTGCGCTCAGGGCTGCCGAGGCTGGCATCACGATGATGTAAGACACCCAGAAGTAGACGAACGAGGGAAGTCCACCGAAGAATGGATGGAACCCTTTGAATGCTTCGTGGAGGTAGATGTAGATACTGCCGGACTTTGGCACCACAGTACTGAGCTCTCCGAACGGTAAACATGCTGATGAAACAGAAGGTGACAATACGTTTTATTGTTTCAAATGCGAAAGCGGCATTATAGAAAGTAAATAAAACTATTTTTAAAAAATAGGTTGAGTCTATCTAAAATTTAATTATGTTGTTTTGAGGTATCTAGGACTAAATTTTCTCATTATACTATACAAACTAACTAACTGTTAACACCTCTTAAATTTAAATTAAAGTGCAAAATACCCCCGCCGCAGCAAACCTGCCGATTAAGCGAATTTCCATTTGTCTGAATTGGTTTCAATTAAATCTATTTAAATAACATTAGGTTTAACGAGTACCTAGGTTTGCTGCTACAAGCATATTAATTAAGTGTGTTTTTTATAAAATATAAATAGCCTCAGATCAGAACTCTAGTTTTCTAAGAATAAATTATTGCCATTATAAGTAGGTTTCACCATAGACTGAGTATATTTTATCTATGGTTTCACCGACAGACAAAAAGAAATTGAGGTAAGATTCAACAAAATTAGGCCTAATACTATTTACACTTAAGGTTTATAATTTTGCTATTAAATTAAAATAAAAATAAAATCATTTTATTAGTAAATTCTTACATAATTTCAAAAGTAAAAAACTCACACAAGAATGCAATAAATCCACACAAGACCCACATAGTCAACATCATCCCGACAGATCCACATTCTGCCAACAACTTTCCTGGCGTGATGAATATTCCAGAGGCTGAAAACAATATCAGTATGTATAAAAACTGAAACAAAACAAATACAACTAATAACCTATTGTTGAAACACCTTACACATCTTACCTATGATATAATTTATTAAAAAGTTCACTGCACTAATCAGTCCAATCTCCCGTTTCAACCCGACTCCTCCATTTTCCGGGCATTTTTCCTTTTTCTCCAACATTTTAAAAAACTCACAATTTACGTGTTAAAAATGTATTCCATGAATACTGGCTTAATTTAGAATAACAATATGACAATGAACAGAAGGGACTTTGCAAAAGGTAGCAAAATGCTATTAAACAACGACTACTTGATAACCTATCAGGCCTTGAACAAATAGTGGCCGAAGAACCGAGGAGGTGATAGTGTAATTGCTGGGAAATAACGCCAAAACACTGATAAATGTCATGTCATATTAGTAAAGTATATGTAAATAAGTTTCGTCTACCAATTATATGATTATGAATGAAATTTTTTTACCCGTTTATGATGACTTTGTGTTTATACAAACAGTTTAAATACTGTTAAATTTATTCAGTAATAAATCTTTGAATTTTAAATTTCTTTTCCATTTCCTAAACAACTGTGTCCATGTTTTATAACTGGGAAAGTTGGTACATTGAAGAGACTGCCGACAAAATTTATGATTTATCTATCTACAGTTGTAAAAAGCCATGTTTATTAAAAAACTCTATGTTTACCACACAGGGTCTTCCTCGGCCATCTTGGGTTTTGGTAAATTAAAATACTGTACAAAGGTTATATGATTATGATTTATCTGAGGAATTGCATGTAATCTTAAATTATTTCTTTAAAATTTAATCGTGCTTTTTTATTCTGTTTGTAATTAAACTTTCAATTGCAAAACAATAAGATGGTTTCTTATACAGTTGTAGGCCTATACAAATGGTAATCATTGTTAATTATGATTTAAAGCTAATCTTTGACTTTTTTTAAAACGTTTTTATTAGCTCGGTTTCTTGTCCGGTACAAATTTTGAAATGAATTTTATACTAACTTCCCGACGAGCTAGAGACTTGAAACTTGAAACATAGCTCACAAATGGAAGACAATGCAATATTATATCATTTAATTTTCATATTTCCCTTGGGCTACGCCCCATGGGCTTGTTTTTATTAAATCGCTTTCTTGCAAATTTTGATACTTCCCGATGAGCTAGAGACTTGAAATTTGAAACATAGCTCATAAATGGATGACAATACAATATTATATAATTTAATTTTCATATTTCCCTTGGACTACGCCCCATGGGCTTGTTTTTATTAGCTCGCTTTCCTACAAATTTTGATATCAATTTTAAAAAAAGTTCCCGATGGGCTAGAGACTTGAAACATAGCTCACAAACGGATGACAATGCAATATTATATCATTTAATTTTCATATTTCCCTTGGGCTACGCCCCTTTGGCTTCCAAATTTTCCATGTTTACATTTTAAAAGAATGTAAACATATAAATTAATTTAAGTCAGCTGTAAATACTTAAATTCGACAGTTAGAAGAGCAGAGGTTAAGAGGTACAGGTTTTGTTCCGGTGGGGCACACGGAAGATTTCTAAGGCGCCGTTTGACGTCACTAACTGCTGACGTCACTTACTGCTGCGTCTGAAGAAACAGACAATTTTATAATTTTCTATTATTAAATTAAACTGTCATAACCTAACCAAACTAACCAAACGTGCTGATAATGGAAAAATCGAAAGAAGGTTTACTAATCTAAAAAATAGTTTTTTTCATAAAATAAAATTAGAATTGTCTAAAATTCAATTTTATAATCTTTTAATTATAAAATTAAACTGTCATAACCTAACCAAACCAACCAAACTTGCTGATATGAAAAAATTGTTGATAAAAAGTTAGTGCCGCCGGCGGGATTCGAACCCGGATCATTCGGATTATCAGCCCGCAACGCTATTCATTGCGCCATCGAGGCCGATGGCTGAAACCGTATCGTTGCGGTATTGGTGTTCCCTCAAAGTAAGGTCAGCAGTTAGTGACGTCAAATGGCACCTGAGAAATCTTCCGTGTGCCGTTTCGGTTTTGTTCCCAAGATATTTTAAAAATATAAAACAATCATTTCAAAGTAAAGATAAAACATCTGATTACAGATAATAAGGTTTTGGGTTTTGCTTATGTATTAAGAGGCTATATAAAATAGATTTAACATATTTACACATTAAAGACTAAAAACTAGAAAATAATTTATATATAAAAATACTTTTTAAAAATGCCACGTTTTTAAACGCACTAAAAAGTATAAGATAATTTATAAAATGTTGAGAGAATAAATACTTGTAAGATTTAAAACAAAAAACGTGGGGCGCATGCAATAGATCATAATAGTTCAATAGGTGAAGTTTCAGCATGCGCCCCACGTTTTTCGTTTTAAATCTTACAAGTATTTATTCTCTCAAAATTTTATAAATTATTTTATACTTTTTAGTGTGTTTAAAAACGTGGCATTTTAAAAAGTATTTTTATTTGTATCTTCATAAAATGTCCTGTGAAAATGAAGGCTGCACTTTACTTTACGTCCTGCACTCATGCAAATGAAAATATCGATCGATATATCGATTATTCGATAAGTTATATCGTTTGGTTAGTTAGGTAAGGTTACCTAACCTAACTAACCAAACGATATATCGAATGAAACAATCAAATAATCGATATTTTCATTCGAATGAGTGTAGGACGTAAAGTAAAGTGCAGCCAAAATGAAAACTATTTTTATAGTTCCAAAAATAGCATTTGATTTTTACAAACATTGATTGCTTAGAGCAAATTATATTGTTCTGGAGGGGTAAAAGCATTCATATTTTAACAGTGTTTGCAAGTTAAAATAGTGTGCAAATTAAAATAGTTAAAGCGGTGTTTGCAAAGCTCTGAAAATCGGGCCACATGTGTAGTCTTTAGCTCTGTAGCCTGTACACACACATACTATAGACGTCGCTATGAAAACCACTTTTTGGGTTCAGGGGGACTGAAAACTCATTTATTATTCTGTTATTTCCACCTGGAAAATGTTGAGGAAACAATACTTTCTCCATGTACTGTACTACGTATGTATGGGCAGAGAAAGTAAAAACAAAAAGTTTTTCAAAGCATTTCGGGATCTGAAATGTAATGAAATGAAAATTCTTGAGGGTAGCTTATAGGGCTTTACGGACCTTTCTTCAGTTAACCTCTAACTAACCTCTAATCCTGTCTGCTCAGGTGAGAAAATATTAAGCAAAAAAATACAAGAATAATACACCAACCCAGCCGAAGCTGGAAAACAATATACCCCTGCTGAAGCAATCCTACATATTAGCAGTTGTAGCAGGGTTAAAACATACCTGTACATTGATACTGGTTGATACATTGACTTCATCCTGAAATATAAGGATATTTTATTTGAAGGAAGAATTGAAAATCCACTGTCCATGAATCCCATGATAATCTCTGTAAAAAACACTTCACACAGGCGATATTCACATCAAATTGAGACCTGTAGTGTAGTACAGGATGGTGAAATTACTAAAAGGAGAAAGAAGATAAATAAATAAATGAAAATGCCTGTTTGATCCAGCGTTTCTCCAGGACACTGCTTTTCAGAAAACTTCAAAAACAAACAACTCTAGAATATGCTGTACTCGAATATAGGCTAAGACTCACTTTCTACTCCTGTTAATAAATAATATTAGGCCTAATAAATACTATTTCCGTTTCACTTTTAATTGGATTAATAAGTTAAGGCAGTTTGAACGAGCGCCCTTTTATCCCCTAGGAAACATAGAGAAGAGAAGTAAGGTTAGGTACTTTGTCATTTCTATGCTGTCACTACCAACACAATGGAAGGAAAGTCAGACTTTTTGTTTTCGTATAGTTGTCAACACTGTAATCTCATTTCGTCATTTCGTCTGTCACCGGGTAACCAAGAAACGTAAACAGAATGTGAAACTTCAAACTTTGTTTTGATTTTGCGTTTTTTGTTAATTTTGACGTTTTGACTAATATGTTTGCAAAAAACTACCAAGTTTCTGTGTTAGCATATTCTTATCAATACAATGTGGATAGTTTAATAAATCCATTAGATCACTGATCAAGTAAGACATTGTGTTAACTTTCATTTTAATCATGACGGTAATTAGGCTAGGCAAGAAATCTAGGTGGTTTAAGTAATTTTACGACTTGGTAAAAATACAAATATGCTATTTTTGATTAGCTATCATGATGCCAAAACCTGGTTTAAATCATATCAGACTTTAATTTTGTACAATTTTCAGAATATGACCTAAAAATTAATTTAACTTGCATTCAACCTACTATTTTTAATTAAATAACTCTCTAGTAGCCTGTAAGTATAGCCTTTTCGGGGTTGGGTAGACTTCCGTATCTGTTGGCACAAACAACCGAATGAAAATATGGATTATTCGAATTGTTTTGTTAGCTAGGTTAGGTTAACCTTAGGACCTAACTAACCAAACAATATTATTCGATATCGATATTTTCATTCGGAAGTCCACCCTCAGGGTTTTCAAGTTCAGCAGAACATTAATAAACTACTCTTGGCCGTGACCTTTTATTTTGTAACCTAGTCCCAGGAGGTGTCACGCTGAACAATGCATGCAACTTCTAGTTGTCAGGACGGCTCTAATGAATTAGGATGACCTGTATCAAAATTAAATCCTATTTTCCTCATTAGTTAAGTACTGTATTTACAATGAAGTTACGGTAGCCACTTGTATTTCACATCCCGGTGCTGAAATAATTCCTTATGTCCCATAGAGGTGTTACACACACACACTACACACACTTTTGTTAATGAATGTAACTGTACGGAATACTTTTGAACTACACAGTACCACTTTCAAATAAAATCTGAACAATATACACAGTGCAGGAAATGGGTATGTTGGGAAACGACAAGTGACAAGGATGACTAGTGCGTGAGATGGGCCTAGCTTCAAAAAACGTAACTGCTGCCATGTCCAGAAAACGCACACAGACTGTTTCATTTTGCTGTTGCACTGAAGTCCGAGACACTAAGCTTAACCACTTGGCTAGCAACACAACCATCTAACCTACATTTCTACATGACAAAAACCTGTAATTTTATCCAATTTAAACAGACATCAACCAACAGTGAACACTCTAATAACGGCTAGGCCTAAATCTAACAATCCAGGTGGCCTAACCTATTGATTTATGAGCTGGTTTAAATGTGGTGTTAATGAGGAATTATGGTTATGCTTTGTTTCTAGATT